TTAGGTTTGCGGGAGCTGAAAAATGTAACAGGCAGAAGGAGGCGTGGCAGACCCCACAAAGTATATATATTATTGATCAGCGTGACAAGACGAGTCGATCTAGCCCTGTCTGTCTGTCTGTCCGTCTGTCCGTCCGTATGAACACCTGGATCTCAGAGACTATAAGAGATAGAGACACCAAATTTTCCACAAAGATGCGTTATGTGTGTATTCTATACGAGTTTGTTTTATTTTTTTGATTTTCCCCCCCCCACTTCCCCCCTATGGGGGTTTTCCCGATTTTCCATTCGTATAATCGCCTATATCTCGGAGACTATAAGACCTAGGCACACCAAATTTTAGTCCAAGATGCCTTGTGTGAATACGCAGAAAATGTATATTTTGGAATTTCCCTCCCTCCCCCCTCCCTCGCAAATGCGTTTTTTTCTAACTCCCGTAATTCTTGGAATTTCGAACTAAAATTTTGAAAATACCCCCAGTTAGTAATTATGTGTCCGTATGCCAAGTTTCACTATTATAGACCGATTTAACAAGTTACAGCCATAAATATATTTGCTGCTGCAGCGCTGCTCAAGCGCTGCCCGCGGCTGTTGTTGATGTTGCTGTTTGGTTGACTGCGAAAATGCTTACACAGACACGAATTGATGCGCATAGGCATACATACACTCACACAGACGCAATTGCTATGTAAATGTGCAATTATACACCCTTTACGTGAGTTCGAATACCGAGAGAGGTAAAATCGATCCAATTTTTTTTAGCTTTTTTACTTGTTTAGCTTATGTACTAGTTTCTACTTATGTACTAACAATTAAATATTTTTCTTTTATTCTCTAAACATTGCACTCACTGTAATTTTACATTTTTTGTCTTATTCTATCCTGACCGTGTCAAGTGGTGTTCCCCTCCATATGTATTTCAATCATTTTCCTTATTTAGTGCATTGTGCACCCGCCCTTAACCGCTGTCGCTCCATATGCATGCGTTGGTCCGAAGCGCTGCTGAATGCGGCCATTTTTAGACCGAGATTTTGTTTAGCCTACCTACTGCTTGTGTTCCCTATGATAATCTCTGAAACCTTGTTCACTTTTGTGAACACAGCTCAACTCTTGAATAAAAGAATAAAATTTAACAAGAAAGGAATGCTAAAGTCGAGCAGGCTCAACTCTTAAATACCCTGTACCACCCCACAAAAAAGTATTTTAATTAATTAATTAAATTAAATTAATTAACTAAATTAATTTAATTAATTAACTAAATATTAACTAATTAAATATAAAATATTCCATGCATGCATACATACATTTACATTTACATCAGAATCGTGCCTTATGCGTGTTTGTGTACTTGTACATATGTATGTATGTGTGCATTGGGTCTGGTTATATGGCTATAACTTTCTTTCCGATCATTCTATCATAATAAAACTTGGTATACGGATATATAATTACTAACCTAATATGACTACCAAATTTTAGTTCAAAGAATTCCAAGAATTACGGGAGTTATAGAAAATCGTTAAGTGGGGGGGAGGGGGGGGGTGGATCAGAAAAAATGAACAAACTCGTCCTTTCTCGGTCTCAGGAGAATCTGTATACCATATAGTTTGGTTATTCTAGCTCTTATACTTTCGGAGATCCTTGCGTTCATACAGACAGACAGACAGACAGACGGACAGACAGACGGACATGGCTATATCGACTCGGCTTGTCATGCTAATCAAGAATATATATACTTTGTGGGGTCTACCAAGCCTCCTTCTGTGTGTTCCATGTGCACTCGCACAAAACTAATATACCCTTGTACCCTTTGGGTACAGGGTATAAAAAACAAATTATGTCTGCCACTCTTTGAAGAACAAAAACAAATCTGGCTACCATGGACATGAGGACCTCAGGGCGTTACTTTTCAGCGGTTACTGAGCGCATGTAGGGTCAAGAGTTGTCGGATCAGATGGCTATGAACATGACACTATCTTTAGAAGCATACCGGGAGCACCACGGTGTGTTGCCGGAACGCATTCTCTTTTACCGCGATGGCGTTGGTGATGGCCAACTCCATCAGGTTGACAACATCGAAGTGAAGCAGCTGAAGAGAAAACTGGACGAAATTTACAAGTCAGCTGGCAAACCGGAACGGTGCCGTTTGGCATTTATTATCGTAACGAAGAGTTTCTCAAACTGACCTTTTATGTATTAGTGTAAGGAGTTTGGAGTTGCATATGGAAAAGTGCCACCCGCTAAAGCTCCTTTGTCGCAGTTCTCAACGGCTGGAAAGTTTTTAGCAAGCAGTTTTCACATGGTTTCACAGTATTTGTTTCAGTTTATCAGTGGTATTTTATTTCATTTAATCTTAGTAAGAGTTTACATTTTTTGTATACCCGCAGGTACATGTGGACAACCCTGCACGTAAGCATACGTACACTTTTATTTAGTCATACACTTACATTTTTGTACCTGCGTATATTTGTTCTTAATTATATAGTAAATAAGTTATGCTACATATGAGCGACAGATTTTCTTATTATACTCTGCACATGAAATTTACAAGAGTATATTAGGTTTCCGGGAGGTGAAAAATGTAACAGGCAGAAGGAGGTGTGGCAGACCCCACAAAGTATATATATTCTTGATCAGTGTGACGAGACGATTCGATCTAGCCCTGTCTGTCCGTATGAACACCTGGGTCTCAGAGACTATAAGAGCTAGAGACACCAAATTTTGCACAAAGATGCCTTATGTGTATACGCTATACGACTTTTTTTTTTAATTTTCTTAATTTTTTTAATATCTACAAATATTCTAAACATATTTACAGAGTATTTCAGAGTCGGCACACCCGACTTTAGCTTTTTTACTTGTTTATCTTAAGCTTTATATTTTCCGCTTCTCTTAAAAAACTATTTCGCTCTTTCCCTTTAGTGATTAAAACTAGTTGAATAGTTTCTTTTAATTTCTTTCTTAGTTGTACCCTTTTGCCTCCACGTTATTATGCCCTGTACCCGTAGGGTAAAAAGGGTATATTAGGCTTGTGCAAAGTATGTAACATGCAGAAGGAAGCATCTCCAACCCCATAAAGTATATACAAGGTGTGTTCCAAAGTAAACAGGACTTAAAAAAAAAACAGAACAAATGTTTTTTTCGGCAAAATCAATTTATTTTAATCGAAGTAGTCTCCTTCTGCTTCAATACAGCTTTTTGCACAATCCAAAAGCATGTCGATCGAGCGTTTTAGCTCGTTGGCCGGTATGGCCGCCAGTATGCCGGTGCAAGCCTTTTGAATGGCCTCTACGTCTGCATAACGCTTTCCTTTCATGGGCAAATGCATTTTTCCGAAAAGGTAGAAGTCGCACGGTGCCGTATCAGGTGAATACGGCGAGTGGATAATGGTTAAAATGTGATTTTTGGTCAAATAATCTGTCACAAGCGTCGATTGATGATCACGACCACTTTGAAAACGTTGAAACCACACGAGTGGTTTGCTACGGGATAAGCAATCATCACCATAAACTTGTTCCATCTATTGAAATGTTTCGGTTAAAATTTTACCAATTTTAAAACAAAATTTAATGTTGGCTCTTTGTTCGAAGCTCATTTTCGCACCGATAACACAAACCTACTGACACTTAAAACGCAATAACTTCACTTGAAATCGATGAAATGTCATGAAATTCTCACCGGGCAATCGATAAAGATAGCAGATTCTAACTCACCAGTCGACATATAAAAGCGCCACCGGGGGGCGCTAGATTCAAAAAGTCTTGTATACTTTAGAACGCACCTTGTATATACTGAATCAGCATGACGAGATAAATCGATCTAGTCATGTCCGTCCGTCTTTCACTGTTGGGCTCGCTCGACTGTAGCGTTTCTCTTGTTTCTTACATCTGCACCTTACATCTATCAAAGGCCCTCTTTTTGTCTTCGTCCAGAAATTTATTGGCCACCTCCTGCTGTCAGAAGAATGACCAGGTCACACTGCTGAGCCTTATGAGTCGCAGTGCTGGACTTATTCACCTCAAAGAGGGAACACCTAGACCCCCATCGTTGAGGGATGCATGAAAGAATGCGTTGCACACGTCGTTAGATAGGCCCAACCATCTCCAAACCGTGCTACGCACTAACGTGTCTGTCTTTCCACACTCCCAAGGGTTAGCTTGTGATAAAGCTGTGGAATCAGGACAGTCCGTAGAGAGAACATTCTCTGTTGCGGCTTAAGGGGGGGCTGCGTTAATATCTCCAACTTCGGACCCAGGTCCTTATAAGGATTGTAACGAGCCCTCCCATCTGTGGTGAAATTGATGCCTAAATACTTCCACTCCTCCGAGCGTTCCAGTGCCGGACACTCGCGATTACCAACCTTAAATGCACGCGGGTAAACAACCGTATATTTTTATTTGGGTTGGCCCTTAATACTTACAGTGAAACACTTGTCAGAATTAAGGGTTAGTCCGACTGATCCCATAAAGGAAACAGTGGTAATATATATAATATATGTTCTATGTTTTTCATTTGACGTTAAACGATGTAAACCGAGTTTATTATTTTCATTCTCACCCTTTCATTAAACAAACATTGTATCGTATTAAATAATGCTGTGTGGCCGGTCTCTCCACACCGGCGGCAAACCACAGTTGCGCGGTATTCCGACACTTTATGGTCGAAACTGACGCACCTGTGGCAGGCATACGTGCGTATAAGCCTACGGCACCTGTATGCATGGTGTGTGATATACACCTTGTCAGTCCTCTCTATGATGGCTGCTGCAGTTTCGTCCAACTCTATCGTCAAGTTGACTGTTTCTCCATCCGTAACAGACCACCTCTTAGTCTCCAAGTGGACGGCTTGGCGAGAGTGGAGTGGTTAGCCCTGCTTCTTTAAACTTCTTGTGGGTCACTGCCTTCCACATCTCTTTGTCGGACGGCGTGCGCAGAATAGCTTTGCCACGCTTCGTCTCGTGAATCCCATGTACACGAATGTGTACATCCGGCATCACCTCACTCTTCATTTTTTCAACGATCTCCTTCGGCGAGACGCTGGGGTCCCGGCTGGCAACTATGGCCGAATAGGTCTCGACCGGCTTCTTGGTGAGGCGCGGTAGGGGCGTAGGAACCACCTGGGTGGCATATGTCTGCGCTACATGAGCAGCATTAGCAGGCGCAGCTGGTGGTGGCATAATGGTGCTTCTTGTCCTTTCCTCAAGCAGCGCGACTCTTAGCATGAGCGACAAAACCAAATCATCATATGGCATCATGGCAGCGGCGTCAAGCACATCTATAGAAGCATCAGGCTCCATGCGCGCCCTCGCCACAGCATTGCGCACCTGCCGCTTGATGCCGGACAGCTCTGCTTGTATTGCAGAACTGCCACCAGCCACGATGCTCTCGACAGAGCACCGCGGTACGGCCGGGACAGCGGAGGTGGCAGCCCTCGCAGCAGTGTCTGCGTACGAAGCGACTGTGGGAGGCGGCAGAGCGACTGTGGGAGGCGGCAGAGCGACATTTGACGCGGACAACGCTGGCAGCGCTCTCGCGACGGCGGCAGATAACCGGCTTCGCGACGGCGGCGGACGCGTCGGCTGCGGCAGCGATGCCGGCAGCGATCGCGGCTGCGGCTGCGACAGCGGATGACGTCGTTGCTACGTCATTTTCGGTCTCGGTGACCACGGGCACGGCGACTGCGACGGGAACGGCACACTACGATGACGTAGCGCCGGCGGCCATGGCAAGGGACACGGAGGGGGCAGCTATAATGCTGGCCTTCTCCTTGACCCTTTTCTTGGCCTACGTCACCATACAGGTCTGGCGTCGACGCCGCTTTTTGGCGGGGGCAACCGCGACGGGCAGTACCACCAGACATACTGACGTCACTTGCGTCGCTCGTACTACCAGAGCGGCTACGGACACTCATAATTGTTCAACAAGCACACTTATTGTTCGCACTTATCGCAGCTTCTTATCTCAATGTCTATTTTTAAAACAGCTTGTTGTCGTAAACAAGTTGTTTACGTTTTGCGGGCACTTTTACCGTAATTTGCTTATCAGCAAATTGATAATTTCGACTATGCGCGCACTCGATTTACACGTCCGCTCGCGACGACCGTCTAAAGCAAACTCAGTAGATAGGGACAGTAGGAATCTCGTTAATCCAGTCATGCGCGTCACTAATTAGATGACGAGGCATTTTGCTATTTTTTTTTCTTTAATCCGGAATGTCACCTTTGTCTGGTCCTTCCAGCGCCTACACCACCGCATACCAGTAGGTTTCTGGTACTTAGTAGTGACGACAGGTGTTAGGACCGAATTCCGTTATTACTTTATACCTTGTTTGGGTGTTATACCAAGGTAGCAAGCATCCGTAGAAACGTGAATAACCGACACGGTCACTCCTAATAACCGGAGTGAAACATGAAGGTCTTGAAGCCGAAGACTCCGCACGAAACTACTCTGGCACTGATGATATTGCTATCATCAGCGTTTAAGACATCCAGAGCGATCAAACCTTTTATGGAATGACCGCTCCAGATGCCCCGCCAGTTTAGTGTTGCGGTTGCAAATTTGATGTTCACACGTGCCTGGTAGTCACGCCGCAAGCTTTCTATCCAGTCTTGACGATTGTATTTGTGGACTTTGCTCGCGTGAGCTCCGTCCAAAGATATGCCGTCCGTCACAACCTGTACATCGATCACTATTGTGTACGAGACCGCGTAGGAAGCGCGTTAATCCGCAATTTGATTCCTTTATGATAAGCCTTTCCCGTAAGTAAACGCGTGGGTGCACCAACCCACCGATTCTGTGGTTTGTAGCGCGCTGCTTCGCTCAAACCTTTACCGTCAACAGAGAATTGCAGCTTGTTCGCCCAGTAGACATCACATTTTTAACGTGTGTCAACGATTCCTTCATGCATCTTACATCTATCAAGGGCCCTCTTCTTCTCTTCGTCCAGAAATTTATTGGCCACCTCCTGCTGCCGGGAGAATGACCAGGTCACATTGCTGAGCCTTATAAGTCGCAATGCTGGGCTTATTGACCTTAAAGAGGGAACACCTAGACCCCCATCGTTGAGGGATGCATGAAAGAATGCGTTGCACACGTCGTTAGGAAGGCCCAACCACCTCCTAACCGTGCTGCGCACTAATGTATCAGTCTTTCTCAAGACGCCCAATTCCACACTCCCAAGGGTTAGCTTGTGAAAGAGCTGTGGAATCAAGACAGTCCGTAGAGCGAACATTCTCTGTTGCGGCTTAAGGGGGGACTGCGTTAATCTCTCCAACTTCGGACCGAGATCCTTAGAAGGATTGTAACGAGCCCTTCCATCTGCAGTGAAATTGATACCTAGATTCTTCCACTCCTCCGAGCGTTTCAGTGCCGGACACTCGCGATTACCGACCTTGAATGCACGTGGGTAAACAACCGTGCATTTTTGTTTGGGTTGGCCCTTAATACTGACAGTGAAACACTTATCACTTATCGGGCTAACTCTTAAAGCCCGACTGATCCCATAAAGGAAACAGTGGTATCCAACAGCGACTGAAGGCCCTTTGGCGTGGAAGCAAAAAGTACAATGTCATCCGCAAATACAGCTGCGTTTACTGTGGCATGTCCAAGACGAACACCAATCTCGCCGGGTAAGGATTTGAGAAACCGATCAATGATCAAATTAAACAAAACTGGTGACAGAGGGTCACCCTGCTTTACGCCGCGAGCAGGAGTGAATTCCTCTGAGCACCAGCCCCCTCTATTGAGCGTTGTGCTGCCTTTTTCGTTTAAAACCGAAGCGTGATATAGTATCAAACGTCTTGCTAACATCGAGGCCTTCTTATGCCATCTTATGGTGATAACGCAGAACAAGGTCTACAATCGTCGCGTTATCGGCACATCCGTCAGTCGGCTGGAATCCTCGTTGCCTCGGATCCCAGTCTACAGCTAAAGTAAGCCTCCTACTGAGAATGGCGTTTAGCTGCCTGACTATGATGGATGGTACCGATATCGGCCGAAAGTCTTGCGGTCGTGATGCCGTCGCCATCTTCGGGATGAAGATGGTTCGGGCCATTCGGAAGAGTAGCGGTAAATCTCCACACCAGAGAATCAGGTTCCAGGAGAAGAAGTTAATGACACTCGCGAGTCTAAGATATCTCGATTAGTAATCGGACTCCAGACTCGTTCTAATAAATGATCCATATTTAATGGGGAGTAGGCGTTCGAGCAAGAGGTGTTATGTTGTGTCATTACTTCCCTCCAATAGGGTTCCATCATCTCTCTGGGTGGCATTACCGACTCATCGGGGCCCTCAAGCAATGATTTGATGCAGCGACCTTTATGTTTATCCCAGTTACGCTGGACCATTGCGTACTGTTGCCTTCTAAAATCTCTCCTGTTTGTAGGTACACGACGATTTGTACTACGCCGAGCTGGGCGGAAGCTCGGCCTCGGGAATATCCCTTGGAGGTAATTCGATAAACATTCGAGAGTTGCTTCTTTGCCCGATGTCTGTGCTCTATATTAACTCTTCAATCAGTCGTTTATACTCGAATATGACAATATAGAGTATTCATTTTTGTTACTCTGAATAAAAATAACCTGCAAAATTATCATACAAACTTGCTACAACTCCAAATTGTGTATAAATTAATGAGAAATAAAATTTAAAACCTCATAAAGTGCAACGAATTTAATTTTCAAAGCAACTATTTTTTTACACTTTTTGTTCCTGTGCCACAAAAATCTCTCTCTGAGAGTAATATACATTGAAAATATTTTTTTATAAATTTTTTTCTGTGCCAAACAACTATAAAAAGTGTCCATACAAAGTGTCTGCATCGTAAAAAGACAAGGAAATTATTTTACAAATTTTTCCTTGCCCCGGCGCCAGCATAAGTCAATGTACAATTGATAAAAGCCTTCGAAAAATACGTTCTAAAATTACAAATGTGAATCTGTGCTAGTGCACTACACCAAAACGAGTACGCCCTAAACGTCCTGCATCTAAATCGCCTAACCAATTATATGCGCAAAACCAGGCTACAGACGCCTCCTCAAATCCTCCTGGCTCGCCAGTATACTCGGCTCCCACTACATCTGCTGCTGCGGCGGCTGCAGCACTCCTAGCAGCAAAAGCTAAAAAACTTGCTAGTGCTACTAAGGCACTAGACAAAGGCAGTGCTCCTCGCTCCTCTGGAGTTGCTGCTCTACTTAACCCAGTGAATGTTGGTGTGCCTATCCGACATATCACTTTTCAAGAGCTAAGTATGCAGCTTAAAGGGCTTGTGGCAAACAAGGCTCCAGGATATGATTCCATTGATGCTAGAGTTGTCCGTGCATTGCCTAAGAGAGGCGTCCTCTACTTGCTTCTGCTTTATAACCGGATGCTGCAGCTGTGCCATTTTCCTACGCAATGGAAATGTGCAAATGTGGTTATGGCGCTTAAGCCAAACAAGTCACCCCCCATTTGTGATTCATACCGCCCCATTAGCCTGCTTCCGATATTCTCAAAAATATTCGAAAGAATACTTTTAGTAAGAGTATTGGAAGAGGTGGAAATAAGCGGCGGTATCCCTTCCCACCAGTTTGGCTTTCGACAAGGACACGGTGCTCCTGAACAAATACATAGGGTTATTGACCATATCAGAAAAGCAACTGACAGAAGAGAGTTCACCTCAGCGATCTTCATTGATGTCCAACAAGCCTTTGACCGTGTCTGGATTGATGGGCTTATCTACAAACTTAAGCAGATTCTTACTGGAAATCTTTACAGAATCATGTGCAGTTATCTAAATGATAGACGGTTCTTTGTGTTGGACAGAGGAACAGTATCTGCTATCACTAATATCCGAGCAGGAGTCCCGCAAGGAAGTGTACTTGGGCCAGTACTATACACTATTTACACAGCTGATATGCCATGCCCACCAGCTACTAAAAAGGGCCAGCTCCTGGCCACATACGCTGATGATGTGGTCTTTCTTGCCAGCAACTCTGTGGCCAATACTGCATCGCGCGAGACACAGACTTACTTAGACACATTCCACTGTTGGTCCACTAAGTGGAATCTTCTGGTCAATGGCAGCAAATCCACGCATGTTACTTTTGGCAACAGAATTGGTGATTGCCCTGCTGTAACTCTGGGCGGCACAATTATACCCCACAAGCCAAAAGTCAAGTATCTTGGCATGATTCTAGATAGACGCCTTACCTGGAGTGCCCACACAAATCATCTCAAAGGGGCTACCACTAGCCGTATGAATCAACTACGCTGCCTATTCAATGCTCACAGCGGGGTATCTCTCGCCAATAAACGCCTTATCTACGTGCAAACCATTGCACCAATATGGCAGTACGGCATAGGGGTATGGGGTTCAGCTGCCGCCTGCCATATCAACAAGTTGGAGGTGGCACAGAACAAGTGCCTCCGGCTCATGACTGGTGCCCCATGGTACGTTCGAAATG